GAAGATCGCGTCGAGCCTCCTCCTGCCCGATTTTCCGGCGGCGTCAATTCAGCACTGTCGAGGAAGAAGATTCGATCTCTCTTCTTCACTCTCTCCTTCCCGTTCCGGCTGGTGCAACGAACCAAGAAACTGCGATCACAGCGCGTAGTAGGTAAAGTCGCATTCAAAACCTTGGTGAGTTCTATATGACCCCTTTTCCTTCAATTATTTAACTTATTCAATAGCTCATTTGAAGAAAGGGTTGTTAGAATCATGAATGAGAAATGCTAGGTTCCTGAAACACTAGTCACACGACTGGAAGTTGGGAAAAATCTGTGAAACACTAGTCACACGACTGGAAGTTGGGAAAAATCTGATTTTTGACTATTAATTGACACTACAACTGCATTTTTCAAGGAAATGTGTAAGTTAGGGTGTGTATTGTAGGTCCTATGAAAGAACTTAGAATGATTGTGATATGGTAGCAGCCAACCTAGCTATTTGCTTAAAATTTCTGCTTTGATATGAGGCATTTGACATAATAAGTTAAGTTTTGTTGGTAAATGAATTAACTAGTGTTTATAATATGGATTTTGATTAGTGTTTATAATATGGATTTTGATCGGATATGGATTTTGATCGAGAAACCTTGATTTGCTTAGGTTGGCAGCAGCTATCTTCAATTATTTCTATTGATTTTTGGTTTGACATGGTACAATTAAGGTTGTAAATCTAATTTTTGCGTGGAATTAGTTAGTTGGTGTGATCCATGATTTTGAGATAGAAAAACTTAATTCTTTTGCGAATTGACAGCTGTTATGAAATTGATCCTTATAAATTTTGACTAATCAAAGCTAAGAATGAGGTTGTAAGTTCAATTTTTGCAAGGTGGGTTAGTTGTTGCGTAATCTATGATTTTAGTATAGAAGAGCTATGGGTTAGTTGTTGCGTAATCTATGATTTTAGTATAGAAGAGCTATGAATTTTTGTATTTTGGCAGCAATGACCTTAGACTTTGCATTGTTTTAGAACAACAAAAATATATAAGTGAGTATATTTCCAAGTTTCTATATTGGTTGATATATAAATGCTTATTTATATTTGATAGACGATTAAAATGGGTTTGTTAGCTATGATCATGTATGGTGAGGAAGATGATTCGTAGATCATTAAATTCAATTATGAGATCCTTTCCTTGTTAATAATCAAGAAAATAAAAGAGTTTATGAATTATAATTGCATACGATTATTAAAGGTATATGTATTTGGAATAAGAATTATATGAAATTAACTAACTTAACAGTATAAGATTTGTTTGTATATGTATGTATAAACGATTTCATTTATTCGGTATTCAGCTAAAGTGGCTAATTATATTGATGTGAAGCAGGAATGATTGAAATATGCATGGAACATGTTTGAATTATTAGTTGAATGTTGACATTGTTGTTTCTGAAGGAGGAAGGGAAATTAATTTATTTGATTGCCCGATGGATGGGCTGTGTGAATGGGCTGTGTGTTGTAATGGTTGATGGGAATATAATATTGCTGATATTTAGCAGCAGGTTAGGAGGTAATCCCAGCTTTTTTAAGGGGAGACGGATCCGTGGCCAGTGGTAGGGAATGGATAAGAGCTGAGATTGAATTTCGATAAGAACTTAGATTTAGTTTTACATTAACAATCTAATTAATTAAGTTTTTATTTAAAATAAATTCTATAAATATAAGTACCCTGGATTAATTATTTATTATCATTATTACTTCATTTAAGTAAATTCGACATTATTTATTTATTTTATTTCCATTGTTATTTGGTTTGTATCATTATTTATTATTTGATATGATTTAGTGGATTACGTGTTGTTAACCACATGATTACTATATTTATCTTGCATTTGATTTTGGATGCCTTAGATTATGTGCAATTGATTATGATGTTTAATTGTCATTAATATGCTTCTTGCATTTGATTGTATGGAGCTTGATTAAAGTTGCGTTGTGGATAAGTTGTTGATGCTTGTGTTTTGATGTGGTGAATTGGGATGAAGTGGGTCACGCATGGGGATTCTTTGATGAGGACAGGTTGGACCGTCACGGCCGGCGTAAATGGGAGATCGGCGCACACTGTTGTGCACCTACTGGCTATGCTGATCTGTTGTGATCTGGAAAACACAAGTTGGTTTTGACTTTATATTGGGGCCCGGCACCTGATATCTAGATTTTGAATCGGCAGCCGCAGGTGTGGCCCTGTTGTGAGCGCCTGATGATCTACGATTGTGATGAGAGCGACCGGGTTACCTCCTGTTGGTATGCGGAAAAGTAAAAGAGAGGAATGGAAAAACCAGATTGAGAGGGCTGGTCAAGTGAGGATTAGACGGAGTCGGTACGTCCAGTATGGGGAATCGGCTCCCTTGGTGCACACGTTATGAGAGGATGGGCCTAATGCGGGAGGACGGCTCATCGGGGGGTTTCGGTGAGCGCCACAGACGCTATTTCTCACGTGATGCGGTGATATTTGAAAGTGATAATTAATTGTGGATTACTGTTTTGGTGATGATGCCATTTGTGTGACTGACTGTATGCACAGATTATACTAGTCGATGGAGACTAGATGATATATTTAACCACATTTGGTGTAATGTGTGTGTTGTGCAATAATAGTTACTTCTTAGAAAGCTCACATATCTTGTTTAATTTTTCAGAAAGTAAGTTTCCCTTTAAATCGGTCAAGCTATGTTCCTTCGCTGCAGGGTTAGAAATAAAATTTTACTAGTTCAATAATTATTTTTTGCTATGTATCTATATGTATAAAATTCTATGTATACATCCGTCAGTGAACTCCGCAGTTATAGTATTTGTATACTTTTAAGTTGTGTATTATTACAGATGGAATAATTCTGTAAGCCTGTATTCTAAATATAGTATATTGTAAGCAGAGAAATTTGTAAATGTTTAAAATTATATTGAGATAGCAAATTTGTAGTGTTTCAGGCTTACTACGGGTTCAGGCTTACTAGCGGCTCGGGGGCCTTAAGCTTTACCTGGGCCCTAGTGCCGGTCCCGCGCCATGGAATCGGGTCGTGACATAAACTAAATCATTAACTACTAAACTAAATCAATTAACTAAATAAATTCAAGAACACTAACTTAACTAAATAAATTACCTACAAACAATTAATTTCATTCACTAAAACTAAATTATACATCATATATTGTTGCCGGAATTCGATTAACCGGAAATGGGGCTGGTGGCCGGAGGTCGACTGGCAGTGTGGAGAGAGGCGGCGAGGGCTGGGTGGCGTGCAGTGGATCTGCTGTCTCTCGCCAGTCACACAGAGATAGACGCAGGGAAGAAAAAAAGAAAAGAAAAGAAAAGAAAAGAAAGAAAGAAAGAAGAAAAGGAAGAAAGGAGGAGGTGGTGGTGGTGCGGTGGTGGGCTAGAGGTGGGTGGGGCTGGAGGTGGCGCAGAATGGTGGGTGAGAATGAAAGGTGCAGCGCTGGGATATATAAAAAAAAAGGAATTTTCTTAGATGCTTTTGGGTCGAACCGTGTTTCGGGTTTCGATTCGATTTCGGCCAAATCATCGTTTTTTAACTGGGTTGTTCAGCCTTTTTTCAATCGATTTTCGATCACGGGTTTCTGCACAGTATTCGCAACTAAAATATTAAATCATTACCTTTACAGGCTGTTTCGGTTTTTTTAAATTTATTGGAAAAATTCTTTGAACAATAAAAAATTTGGGTTGTTTCAAATATAAAGAAATATTTAAATTTTTTTCATTTTCAATGATTACCGTTGACGTAATGGGGTAGTCTTGTATATCCAGAAGTTTGGTTTGCACAATATACAGGACAGGAGAATACGGAAACGTACGGAATATGAAAATAAATAAACATCATTTTATAATATAATAAATAATAAATAATAAATAAAAAATAAAAAATTACTTAATTTCTTATTTCAATATAATTAGTTAAATTCTCAAAATTATTATCGCTATTGGAAAATCTATGTCTATTTATATTGTATATAAAAATATGGTAGTTTTGCTTTATATGGAAGCCAATTGTAAGTAGCATAGTGAGATGACCCGGAAAATTAATTTCACAAATTTTTCATTTAAAAATTTAATAAGAAATTCTAACCAATGAAATTCAGTGAAAAATAATTTTATTATTGCCAAGCCTGACCCGTAATCCAAGTGGAAATCTTGTAAATTCAAGCAAAAACCCGAAATTGAGCTAAATCCGCCCTGAATCGGACCAAACCAGCCCATAACCAATTAGAAGTGTCTAGAAGTGCAAAAATCCCCATTGGGTCGTAACCCCCTTCTCTCCTTCCAGTTAATGTCGACCCCAGCAGCTCTCCCCTCCCCTTGGTCTCATTTTTCCGGAGACGCTAGCCTTCAACCGACGGGCGTGATCTCTTCCTCTCCTTAGCAACAGCTCTGGTCACTGCTTCCCCTATCTCCGGCCTGCCAGTCTTAGTGCAAAGATAAGAGAGACAGACCCCGATTTGGTATTGCCGGCCGACCTCAAGCAATTTTCAACTATTCTTCAATTAGATAAGCCGATTATCCTCCCTCCTCACTCATTTGCAAGTTATTTTATCTAGATTGGGCGAATTATTGAAGGAATTGATCAAATGGAACTTAGGGCTTTAAGGATAAAAATCTGGATTGCGTTAGATATTGACATAATTTGTACTAGTTGTCTATAGAACTGAATCCTATATGGAATTTGCTATGTGTTAGCGTATGAGTTGCAAGATTCTGGCATCAAGGTACCTCCGGCCACCAAAAAGGGCAACAACGGTAGAGGCTCCGGTGACCGGAATTCCTCATAGACAGTATGTTCCAATTTCTCTATAGATTCTAATTTTGCAATTAGTTTTGTACTTTGATATTGTTTAGTGCTCGAATCATTAGACGATAGAAATCGAAAATCAGGCTTCTAAGCCTCAAATATAACAAAAACTTAAATTAAGGAGGGATTATATGAACTGTAAGCTTGGTTTGGTAGAAATGCAGTAGCTAATAGTTGAGAATGACTAGAAATGACTATTACTTTGATTTAAGATGTTCAGTGTTATTGATTCCAAATATAGATTATGATGCAAGGATAAATATACATGCGTTTACAATTAGCAGTGGGTGAAAAAAATATTTAGTGTTAATTATCGATTAGTATATATAAGGCAGTGGGGTGAAAAAAAAATTATTTAAGCTGTTAATTATCCCGATTTAGTATTATATATATATATATATATATATGATAATATACACTTAATGTAAATATTGATGTTATGACATCCATTCCTTAGTAATCAATGATCCTACAAGATTTCATAACTGGTAAACTTGAATGAAATAGAGATTGTCTCTTAGACTAACAAACAACTATATGGGGAATCTCCAATGCTTCTTTTAGTTTGAGATAAGCTATGGGACATTTTGAAGCTAATTTCTTGAAAGATGATGAAGACACTGAATGTGATTTATCCTTTTAGGTTACGAGAAAAAAAAAAAAAAAAAAATATATATATATATATAGAAACAAGAAACAAGATAGTGAGTAGAATATGGGGTTAGATATAGTTTGGGATTTCTGTGGTTATAGTTCCTTCCATATTATTCTATTACTTTAACTTTAAGAATGATGACATGAGAAGTAATGCGGTATATGAATTCCTTGTTGAATGGTGAATTTGTTAGCTAATTTTTATGTGATGAATAATAGAATTCTCGAAGCGTCTAAACAGTTATCGAATTGTTTAGCTTTCTAAATTGGAATATGAATAGAGAATGTAAGATTGCAAGTTATGGGTGATTATTGTGATGGACTGTGTGGATTGAATGAATATATAGAGAGTATTTGACATTATCTTAACAGGTAGAAAATCCTATTTTTAGGGGAGGCTCTGCCAAAATTTCAATAGAATCTAGGCTAGTTATATTTAATGGATAAGTTAATAGGTTTGTTTGGAATAATTCTTTAATATGATACATTTAAAATAAATCTCTTTATTTACTTTAGTTACTTTAGTTCTTTCCTTTTGCATCTATAATTTATTAGATTGTCCGAGTTTGTCCATCATTCCTGCAAATCAAAAATCCGAGAGCTTCCTTTCTTCTTCATCACTGTGAATACTAATAAACAGCGCACTACCATTTGCATCATGCATAATTGCATTCCTACATAATCCGCTAATGACCTATTTATTTAATTAGTAATTATTTATTTTTATAGCATAAAATATTCATTACTTTATACTTAAGTATATATGTGTATATTTATGTGTTTGCATAACAATATTTGTTTAATTAATGTGCTTGCATTTAAATGCCATGTTTGATTAGATGTGTTGTGATGATGATGTGCTGTATGTGTGAAATTGGGATGAAGTGGGTCACCGTTGGGTTTGTGAAGGCAGTCTTCGATACCGTCGGCCATGTATGGGTAGATCAGCGCCCCGTGTGCATATGATGATATGGATTATGTGGAAAACCATAGGGTGACCTCGTGTTGGTATGGAAAGAAAAGAGAGTATAAAAAAAATGAGAGGGCTAGTCAAGTGATGATTAGACCGGTCGGCCATGTATGGGGGATCGGCTCTCTAGTGCACAAGTCATGCGAGGATGGGCCATGTGCGAGGATGGCTCATCGGGGGTTTCGATGATGCCACTGACCAATTTCCACTTGTTTGATTATTTGAAGGTGTAATTACTTGTAAGTGCTGATGTTGTGCCATATGCTTGACTGGTTATGTGTTCATTTTAGTATTTTAGGAAGCATTTCGTGTGAATACTTGTGTTATGCAATATTTATTATTCATTATAAAACTCATTTCTTTGTTTAACTTTTTCAAGAAGTAGATTATTCTTTGTCTCGGCTAAAGCTCTGTTTCCTTCACTGCAAAGCTAGAAAAGTAATTTCCTAATTCCAGTAATTATTTAAATTGTGAGCATTATATACAAGAACTTATTTATTGGACAGTAGGGTTATTCTTGGTCTGCGGGCTAAAGCTGACTGGTTTCCTTCACCTGCAGGAAGTCAGGCATAGAAAAGCTGAGAATTTCCTAATTCGCCAAGTAATTATTTAAATTGTGAGCATGTAATATATCCAGTAGAAAACTTATTGTTGGTTGAAGTTTGATATTGGAAAGAAAAACTTTGCGCAGTATATGAAGGATCATGTGATATATTCAATTATGTACAGTGTAATCACATGTAAATAGCCGCGAGGGAGGTAACTAGGTTGTATGATTTAGGAGAACCTGAGATAGGTCGATGACAATAAAGTGGCGATAGTATAGCCCATAATCAATAAAATAATGTGTAAAGTGTACATTATAGGGGAGGACTCCCAAGTTTTATGAATGTGCATTTGAAATGAGTTGGAGGGATTTCTGGGCAATGACTATATGCATATAAGATTCATAAGAGTTTTGGTTATAATACAAGATACTCTAGTGTGAGAGTTTGCTATTGTAATTCCTATACACGGTGCTGTTGACGTGATTTCGTAGGTGTTGCATCTTTCGGACGGCCTGCTGTAAATTGTGCGTGGATAATTTGATGTGCTGAAGTTTAGTAATGATTTCCATGGCTCACTGGATGTATAGATTAGTGGTTGCTGACACAGGTGTGATGTAAGAGGTGAGTTCGAGTCATTAGCGTGGTACGCTGTGGCTCTGGGCGGCTTGAAAGCTCACTGCCAATATCGAGTACGTTTGATCAGGTGACGCTAGGGTACCGTGGATTATTCAGTTATTCAGGTGCACCTATGAAGATATCTTCAGTAGACTCCCTCGTCGAGGTGATCCACGAATCGAATCCCGAGTGGTTCAGAGTCTTGTCGCTCATTGGCGATACATGGATGTCGACTAAGATGGTTCCTTTGGTCGGGGGCTTCATTGGACATAATAAGTTTCGGCCGGGTGTCGGCGTGGTGACATTATTGTTGTGCGGATTAGTAGGAGTGACAATGTTAGAATTCACCTTTAGGCTGCGATCAAGTGGTAGCAGACATTGTTAAAAGATAAGGATCTATGAGGGTTTCTAGAGTCTCATCGTTTGATTCGGAGGCGATAGAACTTGCAGAGTCGCTACTAGGTGTTTTTGTATCCTAAGCGGGATAATAATTCGATAGTGAAAGCCAAGTGAATGGTATCCGTCAAGATTAACATTTAATGATATTAATATATGATTAGTCTTGATTTCTTTTTACAAAACATAATAAGTAAGTAGCCACACGTTGAAAAACAAGAGGTGTGGAATAATAATCTTACTATTAAATACAATATTTAAGCATTTAAAAAAATATAAATTGGAAGCATATAGAGATACTGACAATTTTTAAAAAAGTAGGACATTCAATATGCTTAGGACAGCACTAATTAACATTTCAATTAAATAAGATACTATAATTATAACATAAATAGAAACTTAATGTTCTTATTTCAATAACATAAATAAGATATTTAAAAATACTTCATTTTTTTATTAGTAATGAAAAAAAAAACATTGGTTGATTAGCTTGGTGTAAAGAGTAGTCCTTCGTATACCTAGGAGTTAAGTTCTTGTACGAAAATGGCGACATGAGATACGGAAAACGGTTACAAGATACGATAATTTTTAAAAAAGGTGGTAAATTCACTCGCTTAAAATACACTATATTAAATAAGTAATACATTAATATTTCAAATAAATAAATAATCATTTATAATAAGCATAAAATACAGAACAATAAATTTCTTATTTCAACAACACAAAAGCATATTAAAAAAAAAAGCTGGTAATTAAGAAAATCTTAGTTGATTAGCTTAGTGTATGGAGTAATTTTATACACCAGGAGTTAGGTTGCATAAACACATGACACCAGATGCAAGAACATATGAGATACGATAATTTTAAAACAAGTAGGACATCCACACGCTTAAGATATAATACACTAAATAAGTAATACATTAATATTTCAAATAAATAAACAATCATTTATTATAAATTATAAACACAAAATAAAAAAAAATTAATTTCTTAATTCAATGACACAAAAAGAAATAAAAAAAAAACACTTCATTTTTATTGGTAATAAAAAAAATCTTGATTGATTAGTTTGATGTATAAAGTGATCTCATATACCAGAAGTTATGTTGCATGGAAACATGATACAACAATTTTTAAAAAATGTAGCACATCCAGACACTTATGACATAGCACATTAAATAAGTAATACATTAATATTTCAAATACATAAACAATCATTTATAATAAATCATAAATATAAGATACATATAGGAGGGAAAAAAAAACTAGGAGATGGCTTTTGCTATTGTATATCTTATGAAAAGTTTCGCATGATACTTATTTTAGCATCGCAACTTTTCAGCATATCTCAATAAGATACAATTTATCATTTTATTATATAATTTTACTATTTTTGAATGATATTATTTTTATCATTTTATTATATAATTTTACTATTTTTGAATGATATTATAAAATATTATTTCATCTTTTAATATTATCCTACGCATCGTGCGGATTATAAGGAAAAAAAGTAATTATATTTTCAGATAATATCATGTAGGAGAAAAAAAACTAAATAATTCGATTTCCATTGTCTTTACTTTTCAAGCACTTTTATGTTTCCTGCAAATTTATATTTAGAGCAATTTCAACAAGCATTTTATCTTTTAAGCTCCTTTACATTTCTAGTAAATTTAGGACCCGTTTGTTATAGTTGTTTGTTTTTTATTTTTTATTTATTAGAAACATAAAGTTGTTTTTAGTTTTTGGTTACTTATTTTCTCAAAACTGTTTTTTTTTTCCTAAAATTAATTTTCCTTTCTTTTAATTCTTGATGTGAAAATTTCTTCTAATTATCAAATCTCTCCCTTATTAGGTCATTAAAGATTTTAATTAACAATAAAAAAAATCTAAAAATATAAAATCTAAGATAAAATAATTAAAAATATTTTACACTTTAATTTTTAAATTCAAAGTTAAATTAACTATTGATTGTTATGTTCACAATCAATTGAATAAAACTATAATATCCACGCATTATAATAGATAAATAATACTAAATGACATTAGATTTATATAGATAGAGAAAATAATAATAAACATGAAAATAATACTAAATAGAGAAGAGATGGAAATGATAGAGAAAATAATAATAAACAGAAAATGAGATACTAAACATAGAGAAGAGATGAGAAAAAAGCAGTAGAATTTTAGATAGGAGGTATGAAATACTAAATAGAGAAGAGATGGAAAAAAAGCATAGAATTTTAATAGAGGTAATAAAATTAATGTCTATATATTTTAGATAAATAAATGACATTAGATTTATATGGATAGAGAAAATAATATAATAATAGAAAAAAAAGGAGGAATGTAGAATAGAAACAAAAAGCACAATTACAGAAACCATTAATTGTGGTTTCATAAAATTTATTTTTTGTTTAAAAAATAATTTTTTAAAAAGTAAAAAAAAAATTAAATAAGTTTTGTTTATTTTTTAAGCCAAAAAACAAAAAACAAAAAACTGAGTCTAAAACAAACAGAACCTTAGTTTTTGGCCTAATTTAACTATTTTTTGCACACATAAAACTCTTTGCAGTTTGAGTTCCACAAACCAACAGGTTAGTAAATTGTTGATCGGTTAGCCAACATATTACGTTCTTTTTTAAGAAAAATAATCTATTTGACGCGTTCAATGGAACACATTTCTATCAATTTATATAAATTATTCTTAAATTTTTTTTCCTAGTTTGCATATACCACTTAAAATCAGAAGGTATTTTAGAAGAAGAAATTATACTATATTTGTACTTTTAGGATCTTTTGATTAATTTAATTGGTTATTTAATTTGATTGGATTAATCAAATATTGATAAGATTCAAATTATATTAAATTATTAATAAATGGATTTTAATGAGTGAGCTCAAAAATATATTCATTTGGATGATGCCAGACCTTCTCTAGATTTAGAGTCAATTCCCGAGCATAGGAGGCAATTCGACCAATGTAACCCGCTCTAGGGTTATTTATTAATCAACACAAATTCCCCTGTTTGAATGAAATCGAACTAAACCAATAAAATACTGGTTTAGAAATTTCACGATTTGGTTTGGTTTGAAAGTTTAAAATCAAGCTTCCAATTTGGTTTATGATTTTGGGATAAGAACTGCAAAAAAAAAAAAAAAAAAAAAAAAAAAAAAAAAAAAAAAAAAAAAAAAAAAAAAAAAAACAAGAAAACCAAAATTAGAATATACAGTATTTTAAAAAGTGGAAGTGTACGGAAAGATACAGTAATTTTTTTAAAAAAAAAAAAAAAAAAAAAAAAAAAAAAAAAAAAAGAACCAAATAGAATATACATATTTTAAAAGTGGAAGTTTACGGAAAGATTACATTAATTTTTTTTTTTAAAAAAAAAAAAACTTAACAATTCATTAATAATGAATGTAAGTTTAGTACATCATAATATTAGTATAGGAATAAGAAATGCAAATATAAAAATTGAAATATTTTGCTTGGAGATGCTCTTAATCTTAGCAGAAGAAGTTAATCTTTCAGGTAAAAATGGTCTATTATTAAATAGGACGACAAAAGAAACTTTTCACAATATTGTTCCCAACATTGTTTTTTTGAAACTTATTACCACTGACACCCACTGAAGAATTTAACATACCAAACTTTAATGGAGGAACAGAATGCACTATCATGCTCTATTGGTAAAAGAACGTACATGAATTTGAAGATATGAAGTCTCCAATCACAAGCAATCAACAATCTGTTTTGTACTTCGAACTGTCAGAAAAATAAAAGATCCATATAAAAACTTCTCAATAACAAGGAATAACCTCATGAAAGGAATAATAACCCA